GTATATACTGTAGATTGGAATAAAAAATACGAGTGTATCTTGCGGTATGTATTGCATGTAGGTCGTTAATATTGCATTAAACTGTGTTCATTCAAGCGCTTTTGCTGCAACGCGATCAAATAGTTATTTTTTGCGAACTCTCTCAGTTTGGATTGATTTGAAAGTTTTCCGACGCACTCAATCGTATTCCGCATCGGCAACTTCCGAATTGAAGTATTCATTGCACTTCGTCTTTGCGCTAATTGACCCTCCGAGTTCGTCTGCTTCGATTGATCCTCTCTCATCGTCTTTTGTACCTACGTAATTGCGTCCATTATTGTTAGTTCCTCTTCGCAGCATCGCATTCATTTACTGGTTTACTGGATTGGATGGGCATCCTTTCCATCTCTATGGCAGTTTCTTTGTTTCACGTTGACAACGATAAATCCTGTTGGTTATTTACGTCTCTTCCATTAAAGAAACTAATTTGTGAAATTTATATAATTTTCATTTTGCCATGTACTGAATTCTATATGTATACTGTATGATTCATTGCACTTTAGAATGTTTTTCGGGAATTATACGCCGATTGTTAAGCAGAGAAGTGCTTTTATTTTTGTATTTTTGAAATAATTTACTTTAAGTTACTGATTAAGATGTTTCTGTTGCAAAGCAGAAGTTATTCGCGCGTTCAACAGCATCATCTTTCCATGTCGCAACCATATAAAGGCAACTCTGCATTTCCGTCATTGCTACCTATAACCTACAACTCCTACAAGTTCTCGCTGATAATGCTATTCAGTATTTGCGAGTAAGAAGCTACTGGTACAGAAGCCTTAGATTACTATAACGTATATGTAATCCGGATTAATATAAATAATTGCTAGAGACATAAGTCGCTGCTTTCGTTGCTTGCTTCAAGGGGAAGTAAAGCGCACCTTAGATTAGGTCTTTGTAAAATCGTAAATGAAAAAAAGTCGCGAAGAGAAAATTTGAGAGTTGCGTTAAAAAATTTTGAGTTAACTCTCAAGTCATTTCTTGGAATAAACTGTGGTAAAATGACTTGGGATATTTAATTTATCGAAGGAGCACGAAATATCTGCTCGATATCCGATTTCTTACAACAAATAGCTATCAAAAATATAATTTAACAGACATACTTATGTTGCAGATTAAATACGATAAAATTAAAAATTCTTATATTATATTATTTATATTTAAAAAATAAATGAAGATAGGATTTGTGTTAATGGGATTTAAATTTAGTTATCGCTGCGTAAGGTTTCTCTTTCCTTGCGAAAGGATTCGTTAATCCATTGCGAAACTTTATGCAAATATTTCCACGGATTTTGCTCGAAACAACGTGAATATCAATCCTCTTTTCGCTTAATTCTAGTAATTGTTATTTAAATAAAAGCGAGCAAAGAATTTAATTAAAAGCTCGAGTGCCATGCGAAATAATTTTACAAATGTTAACATTGTTAATACATCATTGATAAATCACAAATATGGAATTTAATACATACAAAGTTTGCATTTTCATCGCATAATTAGCTTCTTGTCAAATTTAATCATTTTAACGTCAATTACGTATAAATTAAAGAATGATTTCATTTCTAGAATAAATATTTTCTATCATCAAGCAATAATTAATTCGTGAGGCGTATTATTAAATAAATATTATTAGACCGATATTTTTATTAATTTTTTTTTATATACAGAAAAGCTTATTCGGTATTTTTATTAAATGTTTTTTTTCATATATAGGAAAACCTATATGATATTTCTATATGATATTTCTTCTGCAGTCTTAATTTTTTTATACGAGACAAAAATTACAATTTAAATTGAATTAAATTTCTAAATTTTATTTATGGCATTTTCATAGTATATGTTGATAAAAGTAATATTTCCGAGCGTGATACATATGTGTTCTGAAATTAAATTGCGAAGATATTAAGCGAATCCATATCCTTTTACAATAACGTGTCCGTGACAGAGAGACCCTATGCGGAATCCGCTTCAGAATTATCGGATTAGGGAAACGCTCCGGAATCTCTCGTGCGACGTTTGCGATTAAGGCAGCGGAATCTCCATGCGCGAGTTAAATCGTTAAATGGACCGCTTAATCCGCGCGAAGACCCGTAATTGCGTTGCAATGGAGCGACGCGAGAGAGCTCAAGTTTAGCACAACGAGATATTTGATTTTCGAAAAAGGTAATCGAGCCTCACTTTACTCAGATTTACCACGGATTTGCTCTTGCTACATGCATCTACTCCAGATGCTTCAGTAAATATCACCTTCTGCTTGAGGAAACAATTGTTGTCGATCCAATAGAACGAATTCGATAAAGATTCATTATTCGATCAGATGATTTATCAGATGATCTTCTTGAAATTTGGATATTCACATGGTAGAGAAAAGAGATGTTCTGGCAGCCACAGATATCAGGAAACGAATTAAAGAAAAGTTGCTTTAATAAAAAGTTAATTAAAGTTCTTACAGATTTTTCTCTTTACTTTCTCTATTCTTTCTATAGACATACATGTTAAATCTTAGAACATATAAAAATTATTGTTTAATTTTAAAATAAGTTGATTAGGTAAGTTAATTAGAAATTAGAATAATAACGTTATAATTATAAACGAAAGTATAAAGTGATTAAAAATAAAATATATTATATTTTATTATTGTAAGTATTTTTCTTTATTAAACTTTACATGTTTAATGCTCAAATGTTTGATGGAAAAAACTGCAAAATGAAGACTATTATTCTGTTTTTGTAAAATATATATGTATATTATGTATTTTTGTTTTCTTTACGTTATTAGATTATATTATTAAGTTTTAAAACAAGAATGTCACAGGGAGAATAAAAATATTTGTATTAAATTAAATTTTCTTGTTAATGGATGCATAATTTTTTATCTTGTTTGGTTTAATTATTACAGGCGAAAGCGAGCGGAAAAAAATTGCAAAGAGTCTCTTTGGCTGTGAGCTTGAGAGGAATTAGGATGACGGATTTGGCCACCGAGGAGGATCAACTCCAGGTATCGATATATAGGTGAGAATATAATCATTAACTATTAAATTACAGATCAATGTTAAATATGATTAGCAGTTTACTTTGTATTAACTTAAAAAATTTGTTAACATGCTGTATTATATTACGTTTAAGCTTATAAATAAAACTTTTTTAAACTTTTTATATGAGAGATAGTATTAAAGATTAATAATTTACATAATTAGAATATATAAATAAATACATAAATTTCATTAAAAAAATAATATACATTTTTCCAAAAAAAAAAAAAAACGTTTTTTCTCTGACAAACCAATCACGATAATGAATAATTGTTTTCCACACGCTAGCCCGATTGAAATTTTAATCGCACGAAGTGAAACTCACACAGTTTGCTGCATGTTTTGCCGATCCGGTGTTGAATTATATTCGTTGTATATACAGATATATGTATGCCTGGGAATGCATCAACAATTCCACATAATGACGACGTGATGATGTAGCGAGCATGCGCGATTTTGATATTTGTTACGGGAAATTACAGGCGCGAGACTATTTCCGATCCACGAAGCTTCTCTCTCTCTCTCTCTCTCTCTCTCTCTCTCTCTCTCTCGCTTGTCAAGCTCGATTTGAAGATTATGCAATATTTTCAGTCTTATTAATAGTCGAAAGAATTATAAAACGCGTAGTGTTCACTGACAATGATTTCGTTAGTTCCTATTTGTATCATTTTATTCATAGACGCGCGTTCAAACAAAATTTTTCAATTATCAAAAAAAATATTATTTTAATAGCAAAACTGAATAACGGTTTAAATATGCATGTTGTTGAAATTAAATGTAAAATTTAATTGTAAATGTGTGTTGTGAGTAAAAAGGGATATTTCACATTCTTTACATTCTTTACATTCTTTATATTCAGTTTTTACACTATATATTCATTTTATTATATATTATTTATAACTTTTTCAATCTATTTATACGTTCATACACAAGAATTCTTACACTAGTCATTAGTTATCTATTTATAAGAAGTGGATCTAAAAAATTCAAACCAAGTTGCACAGCTAAGAATCTTTCAATTATATCTATCTTTGCTGTTCTTCATATCGCATTAAAAATTACTCGCACAAAGTGTAATATGATTTTTAACTCTCTATAACATCAGTCTGAAAGATCATCATGCTCTTCTTTTCCGTCTTCTAAAAAAATTTAATTCACATCCAGTAGAACGCTAAATTGATGCATTTTAATGTGTAATTGACTGAACGAGTCTGATGTTTCATAAATATTAAAGAATTATTTAACTCTTAAATATAAAAAAGTAAGCGTTGTTCGGCCAGATTGTTACAAAAATATGTTAAGATTATATAACGAAAGTGGCAGGGGCAGAAAGGTATACAATGAAAAGGTCGAAATGCGTCGTGTTTTGGAAGAGCCTCGCCGAATTTTCGCGCGGAGCGAACGAATGTACGAATGAAACGAACTTCTCTCGCGATAATGATCCCACGGACTCGTTAGACCGACCAGTGAAATACCAGGCGGTGGTTTCCATTGTTACGTTGAAAGCCCGTCGGGCGGTTGGCTTTGTTTCTCTAGCGCATAATGCGTCCGGAGGTGCGCTAAAGTGGCGAACGAGAAATTTCACACGTAAAAAAAGAACGACAATGAGCGCGGCGAGGGTTGACGTGCCGGTTATAAATTCTCTTAATCTCGCCGCTCGGCATCGTTAATGGCGAGTTAATTAACCAGCGTGCAAAGACGCGCGGCTGAATAAAATTAAGCCATGGGATTAAAAGCATTAAAGAGCATTATTTCGGAGCCGATGGCGTTATCGGCTTTCGCCTGTAATAGCGTAACTTTAAAAATTTTGCGATACTAAAAGAGAGGCAAAGAAAAGAGATTAAAGAAGAGAAGAAAGAGTGGAGAAAAAAAAACATAAGAAAGAGAATAAAAAAATTGAAGAAAAATCGATTTGCAAAGAAGCTTTGTGCAAAGAAACAGAAATTATTCCCGTACTATTATTTTTGTATAAAGAATCGTCTTCGTATGTATTGAATTATTATTTATTAGTTTAGTATTATATGTATTTATTTTTCATGATATATAATATAAACATTTTGAAATTTATATGATTATATTATATTATACGCAATATGTGGTTATTATTAATTGATCATAACTTGATTACATGATTTGATTATAAATTGATTATGAGTAGTACACCAAGCTTGTTATCTAAAATAAAAGATAGGAGTTTTATCTTGAGCTCATAAAACGTCAGCTCACTGTATCCATTCTTTTATAACCGTTAGTGGTGCATCTCGCTCATGCCGCATATTACTTTCGTTTCCCTTAGGGAATTTAGAATTCGCCTAAGTGCCCTCCAGCAAATTTTCAACTACTATATACGGCGAATAATATTGTTGTGCGACATAAACGGAAGTGGCTGCTGCTGCGAGCGATGGGCGTGGATTTGCATATCATAGTTGCCGGATGTGCGTGCAGACTACTAATGTATTGTCATATGAAAGATTCAAATTAGCGCTATTATTAAGATACTATCAAAGCGCGCGAAAGCAACTAATGTGGTGAATAACAGTTTTATTTCTTTCAATGAAAACGAAAATGTTATCCAACACATTAAGTTAAAAAAAAAAAAACGATTAATTTCTTATTAATGGAAAAAAAAATTTTTTTTTCTGTATAAAGAGAATGAATTAATTTAAAAAATTATTCTAGTAATCCTAATTTTTATTCTGTTATCTTTTTAATTCAGGATCTCGTACTGCTCGGCGGACGCGACGCACGATCACGTCTTTGCGTTCATCGCGACGAATCTCAACGAGACAATGGAGTGCCATGCATTTCTTTGCCCGAAGAGAAAAATGGCGCAGACAGTGACGCTAACTGTGGCGCAGGCCTTCAATACGGCTTATCAGGCGTGGCAATTGTCGCAATCCGATCCCAGAATCCATCACGCACAGGATAAAAGCTCTCCCTCGACAGGTGACAGGATCGGTGAGAAAGTTTTCGCATTAGTATACTTTCCTGATAGTCTTGAATGTCTCGAAATGACAGACATTATTCTTTCCATTAAAATATAAAAAGCCAAATAAGAAGTTGAAGGAAAATTAACAAAATATTAACTACGACTATACTTATTGATTTATAAATAGAATTCTATTTTTTAAATTGTGATAAATTATATATATATCTATTAATATTTTTTCTAAATTGACTTTTATAATACAGAGTCATAATAAATAGTCTCTTTTAAGATATTGACTTAAAAAGTCAATATCTAACAATTGTTTGTTAAAAATTTAGAAAAAATTTAAATCTTCAAAGACTCGTAATTAGAACATGTAATTAGAAATTTAAACAAAATCTGAGTTTTCAATTACGATAAATTATACATAGATTACATGATTATCAATATAGAAAGAATTGAGATTTTCAACTCTTGGAGGGAGTTGTATAAGAAGTGCGATCGCAGCTCGCAGAAAAATTAAATACTTCGTATCACTGCGTATAAAGTGATGGTATAAAGTGAATTGAAAAAGCTGGCTTTTATTTTTACACTTCGAAAGCTTGCCATTTGCCTTAATCTCGAGCGAGTTCGCGCAAGTGCAGTATATAAAGAGGTATAGCTACCGCGTTGATCGTAAAGTGCAGTGCCTATATATGCATTGCACTTAACTACGAGAGTACGGATATTGCGGTGCCTTCTGGCACCTGGCACAAGAGAATCAAGAAATTGTACGTTAATATCAGGATGGTACACATCAATATACACATTGCACAATGCATTGTGTCTCACGTGCCATTTCAGTAAATACCAACAGAAAATATTACAGTTTTTCTCTCTTTGGTATCTTTTTTGGTATCTCGATTACAATTCGCTGCTTTTTATCTGTATTTTATCCAAATAAATAGTAACACAATATTGCAACTCTATATCTAAAGTTCATTCTAGATGATCTATAATACTGTCAAAATTCAAGATAGAATTCTATTTAAAATTCTATCGATAATTCTATGC